ACACTGTGTCCCCTACCTCCTTCCAGAGCAGAGCTAGATGTGGGGGCTCCCCTCCACCTCCCAGCTGTATCATCTCCACTGCCCTTATCTGTGGACATAGCGCTTCTTTACGTAGTCACCTGAATCCCCAACTAGAATGTAAGCTCCAGGAGGCACAGACTTTGCCTGTCTCAGTCACTGTGGTCTCTCCAGCCCCTACAGCAATGCTTGGCACGTAGTAACTGCTCAACAAAAATAAATTGCTTAAATAAGTGAGTTGAGCAAAGCAGTGTGGAGTCACCCCCAGGGCTTCCTTGCCTGCCCTTTCTCCAGCCCCTGACTCCCACCCTGACTGGACCTCTCTTCCCACAGCATCCCTTTTACTCTCTTGCTGAAGAAACTATTGCTCCCAACTATCAAGCCCTTCAAGTCAAAACCCCTCTGTCCTGGTTTCAAGACCCCTCAAAGTGCCCCTCCCCACCTGACCAAAGCTATTTCCCACCACTTCCCACCACACCCCTGTACTTTACTGGGTCTAGTGAGCTCCAGGAGCCACAGAGCCTGACCAGCATTCGGCAACCAAATCAGAATGAACAGCTGGCTTTTCCCTACCTTGCAGGATCCTCTTGCAGGAAGAATGCAAGAGACAGTTAAAGTGCTTGGCCAGTACGCTAAAAACGGGAGCTATCATAACCTGAGGCTAGAAGCAGTTTCTCAAAGCAAATGGCAGCTGTGGGGTCTAAGGGATGCCAGTTCGAATCCCAGCTCCACCATTTTACTGGTGGGTGGCTTTGGACAAGATAATTCACCTAAGGCCCACTTTTCACAAATGTAAGGCAGAGATAACAAAAGAAGCTACTCTCCATGCCTACTGAATATATTCAATCAGATAGTAAATACGGTATGCCCATCACAATGCCTAGTCAAGAGTGAAAACTCAAACAATGGCCTTTATGCTGATTATCAGCATCCTCACTGGCGGAGCCCAGCCCGAACACAGAGAGACTAGCTTGCTTCTCTGCCGTGATGACTACGGCTTATCAATTACCATGTCCTTAGTTTATTGTATGTCATTGTGTCTCCAGAGACCCCTTAAATCTGTCACCCCATTACTTGGCCCCATTCTTAGCCGATAATCCTTTTCTTGGTAATCACACCAAGCTTTATGGTCATCACTGTGGGGGGCGGGGCCAGTGCATATAGTTCACATTGTGTACTGCACAAAGATACCATCAGAGGAGGGGAATGGGAGGATGGAGGTGAAATCCAGCCAGGACTTTGACTGGCTTCTCCCCAGAGGAGGGGCCTTTCCAATTTGCACAAAGATGCATATGATCTAGCCCTGACCTTGTGTTTAGGGAGGAGAGAGGTTCTTTATCCTCATATTAATAGTTTTTGCAATTCCCCATCTGTTTGTTTGGGTCCTCACCACCGTATTCCTTTTCATTGCCAGGTGATGATGTCACTGTCAACACTCACACCTTCCAGTGAATTAGAACATTCGCTTTTAATCTCCATCCTCCCATTCCACCCCACCTCTCTGGTGTTCTACACCCACATCCATCTGGTTTCCTGCTTCTCATATGCCATGATCTTGGGCAGCATTTCTCAAACCATTTTGACGTCAACCCATGGTAAACAAATACATTTTGTACCCACACACATATATATATAAAAATAACCTAAACAAAGTAGTCACAAATCTCAGCTACCTTTACTATTTATAATGCACCCTGATGTGTTGTTCTATTTCAATTTTTTAAAATATTTATCTTGGTCCACTAAGTTGATTTCACTTCCTTAGTAAGTCTTGACCAGCATTTTGAAAACAAATAAAATGTGGTTCTCAAACCAGCAGCATCAGCATTACCTTCTGCAGAGTTTATTAGATTCTGCAGAGTTTATTAGAAATCTCCAGAATCTCAGTCCCCATCCCAGACCTACTGCTGAACCAGAATCTGCATTTCAACATGGTTCCCAGGAGATTCATGTGCACATTAAAATCTGAAAAGCCCTGATCTGGAATACCAGGAAGCCACAATTGTTAACGCTGATCTATTAAATGAAGTGCCCAGGAACTCTCTCACACGTGAAGGATGTGAACTTGAGCATGGGCACCCGAAATCTGTTCAAGCTTCCCAAAGGCCCATTTCTCCTGCTTTACACTTCCAAGGAGTCACAGAGAGGTATTATCCCTCTCCCTGTGATTCTGAATATAGGACATGGCACTCTACGTCTCTTCCCGTGGCTTATTTACAGCTAGGAGCTTTGAAAGTCAATTTCAAAACACAAAGAAGTCTCATTTCCTCTGCATCCAAAGCGAGAAGTTCACAGACCTTTTCTCTGGGGAATAAGCTCCAGGGAAAAGAAGAGATGCAGGACCGAGAAGTAAGAGTCCTGGGTTGGAGGCCTAGTCTGGCCGTTAGCATCACAGATGACCCTTGCCCTCCCCGAGTCTCAGTTTCTCTGTCATTGAATAAGGCCATGGTGGTGACCATCTCTGAACTACCTCCTCTCAAAATTCTCCCAAGTTGTCCCTTGAGGATACATTAACTCCTCCCAGACTCACTCTTCTGTGACATCAGCCCAGTTCTGAAAGTGGTCCTAGAGTCTGCACTGCCAGCTGTCCCTGCCCTGCAGCTGCATCCCCCCCATAGCTCCTGACTCACTCTGGCCTTGGGCAGACCCTCATGGCCGTGGACCAGGGATGGGGAGGTGAGAATCCTCTTTTGTTCCCCATTTCCATACAGGGAAGCATAGTTGTGAATCTCCATGAATCCCACTCCTCCATCCCAGTAGACCTCATGTCCCTTGCCACAACCCTGAACATCACAGTTGTCCTCAGAGTGGACTTTCCACTGCTTTACTACACATCTTTGTCAGGAAAATCAACACCAAAACAGTGAGCTCTGCAGGAAAATAACTTCCGTGTTCCTCTTAGCGTCAACTCACAAGGCTAAACAAGATGTGTTTTGTTTGTTCACTTCCTGCTGAGGCAAATCAGTCCTGACTGCTAAAAGGGAGGCTGGAGGTAGGGGAGGGAATGGGGTGGGTGATGGGGTATAAACAAGCGAGATGGACAGAGATGGAAATCCAGCTTCCAGAAATTTGGGAAACTGGGCTGAGATCACCCCCAACAGGGCTGAAAAGTCGAACCCTCATTTTGTGTCAGCAGTTGGCTTGTTTGGGATGCTGTTGACAGGAAAATGAGTCATTTGGCATCCCCTATCTTTTAAAACTGTCAGATATTTACTAAGGGCCAGAACTGTATTGTCTGAATATTTGCAGATGTTCCAATAAATATGAGTCATGGAATCTAAGATGACAGGTATAGAAGACGCTGCTGGGGCCCTGCCCATAGGCACTGCCTCTCACCTTCGCACTCTGAAGGCTGCCAGATGCCCCATCTGACTGCCTTGGGTTCTTTCTGGCTGCGGGAAGCCCTTAGCCAGTGTACAGGGTAACTTGGAAATGCTGGAAAGCCAATATCCCTGGAAACAGCATTCGTCCTGTCATGGAAGGGAAGTGAGTGGATAACCCCCTTACCCATTGGTTGGAATAACTTAGGATTCACTGTCCCCAGAGACCCCATGGTGCTAACTGGCCCAAAAGAACACCTCTGGGATTTCTTTCTCTTATTTGTCTTTCCTCCCCACTCCTCACCAGTATTTTAGGGTTTGCTCCTGGGGAAATCTAACCCAAGGCAACAGAACTGGTAGCTCAGGAGTTCTAATCTAGGAGAAAATAGGCCACGATGACCTGCACCCTGAGTTATGCAACCAGAGAATAGGCTGCCTCAAGAGGGGATGAAATGCCTGTCCCTAGAAGTGTGCAGGAATATCTGGTGACCATCTCAGAAGGGCCCACAGAAGTGACCCTGCATTGTTTGGAGGTCCTGGTGTTCTTGACAGAGATCCCGAGTCATTCATGCATTCATTCATTCAGTAGATATTTAGTGAGCTTCTGAACTTAAGAAGTTTGGTCTTAGGAAAATAGGATTTCCCAGGGCTCAGAGAAGAGTTGTGGGTCTTGTGCTTGAGCTTCACTATTAGAAAGTATTTCTTAGAAGTTGTGTTAAAATTTCTAACCTTGGCCGGGCACAGTGGCCCACACCTGTAATCCCAGCACATTGGGAGACCAAGGCAGGTGGATCATGAGGTCAGGAGTTTGAGACCAGCCTGGCAAATATGGTGAAACCCCATCTCTACTAAAAAATACAAAAATTAGCCAGGCGTGGTGGCGCACACCTGTAGTTCCAGCTACTTGAGAGGCCGAGGCAGGAAAATAGCTTGAACCAGGAAGGCGGAGGTTGCAGTGAGCTGAGGTCATGTCACTGCACTCCAGCCTGGGTGACAGGGCAACACTCCATCACAAAGGAAAAGCTAAAGAAAACTCAGCAAAGAAGCAGCAAACAGAGGGAAGGTAATTTAATTTTAGCACCTGACCAAAATTAAATTTTTAATTGACAAATTATAAATAATAATTGTATATATTTATGCGGTACAAAGTTATGTTATGAGATATATATAAAATCTTGGCCAGGCACAGTGGCTCGTGCCTATAATCCCAGCACTTCGGGAAGCCGAGATGGGAGGATTGCTTGAGCGCAGGAGTTTGAGAACAACCTGGGCAACATAGACAGACCCTGTCTCTTACTTTAAAAAAAAAAAAAATTAATTTTAAGGGCCAGGTATAGTGGTTCACGCCCCATAATCCCAGCACTTTGAGAGGCAGAGGTGAGAGGATAGCTTGAGCCCAAGAGTTCAAGACCAACCTTGGCAACATAGTGAGATTTCCATTTCTACTAAAAATTTTAACATTAGTCAGTGTGCCTGTAGTCCCAGCTATTGGGGAGGCTGAGGTGGGAGGATTACTTCAGCCCAGGAGCTCGAAGTTGATGCTGCAATGAGCTGTGATTACACCACTGCACTTTAGCCTAAGCAACAGAGCAAGACCCTTGATCTAAAACAAAATAAAAATTTACCTTTAAAAACTCAGCTTTTCTCCTCCCCTCTACTTACGGAGTCTTCCCGGCAGCTTGCAGATCCCCCTTTCACCCAGCAGGTTAATTTGAGCTTCACATCTGGCTTGCACGTGGGTGCCTAGGGGAGGCATGGCTGCCACAGGGCTTATAGGAGAACCAGCCAATTCTCCCTCCTAGAGAGAGAGAAACCAGGACAGAAGAAGAATGTCTTGGTAAGGCTCAGCCATCTTTAAATGTCTTAAGAATTTTTTTGGAAGGGAAAGAGTGTTTATCTCTCCCAATAGACTGCATCAACCTTAAAGTTAGGAACCATGTATATCTTCAACCCAGTACCATCAACATCTTGTACCCAGTGGGCACAATAAATGACATCCTTCCAATTCAAGCTTTCCATGCATGTGCCTAACTCCAAGAGGGATCCCCTGTCAAGACTTGTATGATTGAAATCTGAGAGCCTAGGAATACTCACTGGATCCTTGGTGCGGACAACACAGGAAACCTGAGAGGCCAGTATCAAAAGACCTTAAATCAGAAATAAACAAACAGGCCAGGTGCGGTGGCTCACACCTATAATCTCAACACTTTGGGAGTCTGAGGCGGGTGGATTACTTGACGTCAGGAGTTTGAGACCAGCCTGACTAACATGTGAAACACCGTCTTTACGAAAAAATACAAAAATTAGCCAGGCGTGGTGATGGGCGCCTGTAATCCCAGCTACTCAGGAGGCTGAGGCGGGAGAATCACTTGAACCCGGGAAGTGGAAGTTGGAGTGAGCCAAGATTGCGCCACTGCACTCCAGCCTGGGCAAGAGAGCAAGACTCCGTCTCAGAACAAACACACACCATTTTCAAAAGAGAAAAAAGGATAAATTTCTGAATCCTAAGGTCTCACCACGGGAAGCCTGTATCTTTACAATTCAACAATCAGCCTGGCCCCCAGAGATGACGGCGATTCATCCATCCAGATGAGAAAATGAAGAAGGTGGCAGGATTTTGTAGGAATAGGAGGCTCCTTGGGGCTCATGCCCAGCCACAGGCTGCCACAGCACGGAAAGGAAAAGTGAAACCAATTCCATCAAGTCATTTTTCACTCTAGGATTGTCAAAAGCTTTACATTCATCTCTTGGGATCCCAGGAGAGCGATCTGCTGAGAAAGAATTTGGATCGGAGCCAGCAGAACTCCAGAAGCCTTGGCTGTTGTGCAAGGGGATTCAACACCTTCCAGGGTCGTTCTCACTTCATTTCCAGCCAGACTCCCTTTGGTGCTGTTTCCCAAGTAATCAGACCTCAGGGGCTGCCTCCTAATGGGGAAAGGAAAGCTTACCTTGCTGGAGAAGGGGCGCAAGTCACAGGACTTGCCTAGGACTTGCCTAGGACTTGCAGGAGGCTCTTTGTCTACTCCTCTATCCCCATCCAAGTAAGAGGAGCGGGGAATTCCGGGGCTGTAACTGCGTGGGAAATGCCAGCCATGGAGCTGCTGAGGATCAGACTCCTGGGTTTCAGCATGGAGGCCAGGGAAGGGTCTGATAAACGGGTATGGGTCTTGGCGAGAAGCGAGTGGAGAAAGGCCTTGGAGTGGGACGGGGCCCCAGCTCTGGGGGCAGTTCCGAGGCTCCCAGGAAACCGGCGAGTGGGGAGGGGCTGCTAAAGAGGGGCTCCCTGCGAGAGAATGCGTTCACCAGCTGTGAGGACCCGGCTTGCGCAGGAACTTCCAAGGACCTCACATTTGGTTGGTGTAGGGACGACCAGTGGTAAGGGGGCTGCAGAAAGGGCCTGCAGGGGCTGTGCGTGATGCCTTCAGAGCTGTGTATGACACTGAGTCACGGGCGGTGACCCGCGTCTGGAGTTGGAAGGGGAGGTGAGTGGGATGAGTGTGAGGTTTAGGAATGTGTTGGAAAGAGAGATTCCCGCCAGGTTAAAAGGTCTGATAAAATAGGTTTGGAAATCTGGATAGTGGGGAAAGGATGAGGGAGCAGGTGGCTCCGCGTGCGCGCTGCGTGTTCAGCCGCCAGGCTCTTACCTGCATTACAGGTGGAGGTGAGGAAGCCACCGGCTTTCTGTCGTGAGCGCTTCCCCGGCTGTGGCTGCTGGGGCCCTAGGCCCGCGCTCCTAGTCCTCCTCCCCCAAACCCCTAACCTGGCTCCGAGAACTGGAAGGTCGCGTGGGAGGAAATGTCTTTCGAGAAGCGCCAAGGCGTGTGCGCCCGGGTCCCCCGCAGGCGGGCAGGGGCGCCAGGCGCTCCGGTAATCGCTATCCTTCCGGGAAACGAAAACGAAAGAGCGGGATGCGGTTCCACTCGCGCCGCTGCGGGCTAGGGGCAGGGCAGGGGCCGGCCCCGCGCGAGCGCAACCCCGGGGCGCTTCCCGCTCGCCAGCCTGGGAGGCGTGGATCCTGCACACAGCCTCCTGCCGGTGGACAGCCCCTCTGGCGACCAGGCCTTGGCTCCCACTGGGGCAGAGGTGGGATTCTGCAGGATCTGAGGAGCTAAGGGGGCCCCTAGTCCTGAACTCGGGACCAGCTGCCTCTCTTATGGTCCTGAGCCCAGGAGCAAGACCCTGTGAGTCTCCGCACATGGGATGGGAAGGGGCCGCCCATGGGGTGTTCCTGGGCCTGGTGCCTCTCCGTTTAGGGGTGGGTGACCTTCCTGGCCCCGATAGATACTGTCTCGGTCTGCTGTTTGGCCCCGCGGAGGCCCCACAGGTCCGGAACCGTAGCGCCACCATCAGAGCGGCTGTGCTCTCCTGAGCGGGACCAGACTACTCCGAGATCCCGACTGACACCTTTTCCTGGGCCTCTGAGTGCTCCAGAGTTGGTGCCTGGCCACCCATCACCCTTTCCATCTGTCTCAGCTCCCCCTGTCTCAAGAGAGGTTGTGCGCATAAAAACAAACCAGCAGACACTGAAGAAAAGGAAAGAAAAGCATTAACAACCTTCTGCTGAAAATCTGACGGTGTAGATGCTGTTACAAAGTAGGCTTAGCGCTGATATATTATCACCAGCTCTAGGCCAGCAATAAGAAACCAGTAAGAACAAAGCCAGAAACCCAGTAGAAAAAAAATGAGCAAAGGATATGAATAAACAGTCCACATAAAAGGAAATGCCAAGTGGCTCCTGAATATGCGAAAAGATGCCCAGGGCACAGTGGCTCATGCCTGTAATCCCAGCACTTTGGGAGGCCAAGGTGGAAGGATCGCTTGAGCCCAGGAGTTGGACACCAGTCTGGACAACATGGTGAGATCCTGTCTTTACCGAAAATTTTAAAAATTAGCTGGGCTTGGTGGGGCTGCACCTGTAGTCCCAGTTATTCAGGAGGCTGAGGTTGGAAGATCGCTTGAGCCTGAGAGTTGGAGACTGCAGTGAGCCGTGATTGTGCCACTGCACTCCACCCTGGGCAGCAGAGAAAGAAAAAGATGCTCAGACGAACTCACTATTTCCAATGTGCAAATTAAAGTTATTCTGAGACAAAAATTTTTACCCATAAATTTGGCAAAAATTTAAAAGTTTAATAACATAATCTGCTGGAGAGGCTGAGAGGAACAGGCACTCCACTGGGAGTGTAAAGTGGTGCAACCCCACGGCAGGGTCTGGCAAAGTTACAAATGCATTTTCCTTTCACCCAGCAATCTGCCCACCAGAAATTTATTCAACCAATATCCAAAGTATACATAGTTACATATTTCATTATGGTTTATAATAGCAAAGTATGAGAAATAACTCAAGGTGTCCATAAAAGGAGGCTTGATAAAGTAATGTGCATTCATTTGTTTTAATTTTAATTTTCCTTTTTTTTTTTTTTTTTTTTTTTTAGAGACAGGGTCTCACTCTATCACCCAGGCTGGAGTGCAGTGGTGCCATCAAAGCTCACCTTAACCTTCAACTCCTGGGCTCCAGTGATCTCCCACCTCAGCTCCCAAAGCACTGGGATTACAGATGTGAGCCACCACACCCAGCCAAATTATGTACATTCATTTAACTGAATACAGTTCAACACTTTATGGAGTTCTCTGTGGATCATGGCAAGCTCTCCAAGAGGCAGTATGGCATAGTGGATAATAATCTAGACTTAGGAACACCTGCCTGGTTTTGGAATCCCAACCATGTCATTTACTGGCTGTGTGCCCTTGAGCAAGTTTGTTAACCCCTCTACTGCCTCCCTCTACTAACTACTGCCTCAATTTTTTAACAGTGAAAAAGAGCAAATAATAATACCTGTCTCATAAGGTTGTTATGAATAAGTAAGTTAACATTTGTAAAACACCCAGAACAGTGCCTGACCACCCATGCTAAGTAAAAAAATCAAGGTACGAAACAGTGTGTATTACTACCTCTTGTATGTAAATATATGTGTGTGTGTGTGTATGTATGTATTAACTAGTGTTTATACAAAGAACCTCTGGAAGAATACATAAAAACTAAAAAGCATAACTGGAATTTAGAGTAGAAAATAAGAGAAAGGGTTTTTGTTGTAAACCTTTTCATATTGTTGTGATTTTTTTTTTCCCCTAAGACAGAGTCTCGCTCTGTCGCCAGGCTGGAGTGCAGTGGCATCACTTTGGCTCACTGCAACCTCCGCCTCCTGGGTTCAAGCAGTTCTCCTGCCTCAGCCTCCTGAGTAGCTGGGACTACAGGCACGTGCCACCGCGCCCAACTAATTTTTGTATTTTTAGTAGAGACGGGGTTTCACCATGTTGGCCACGATGGTCTTGATCTCGTGACCTTGTGATCTGCCCACCTCGGCCTCCCAAAGTGCTGGGATTACAGGCGTGAGCCACTGTGCCCGGCCTTGTTTTGATTTTTGAATCATATAAATAAAAACCTATTCAAAATACATTTTAAAAAGAAAGTTTTAGGGCTAGTCTGCCAGAACCTAAGTAATAATAGAAATAAATAGGCACTGCCTGAGACAGACTAAAAATGGAGACATTTCCCTTTGGAAGGACAAAGTTGATGGTATGTATAATCAAAGTCTACAAACCAATCTGAGCAGGAATAAGTGGCTAGACCCTGCCATGGGGTTCCTCCTTCAAGAAAGAAATATGCACAGGGGTTTCATGCTCAATAAAATAACAATATTTATTTCTTTTTTAGAATTTTTAAAAATAACACTACTATGAAGAGCTCAAGATACATAAACTTTTAATTTATAACAACAAACCTTCTTAATATTTATAATTATTTTAAAGGAGGGGAGAGAGGGACTATGAGGTAGACAAAAACGTAAAAGGAGAAGAATGGAGGTGAAAGAACTGCGTCAGAGCGTGCAGGAGAGAATGAGTGAAATACATTCAACAGGCAAAGGGCCCATCAACCAATACAGCAAAATCATCCAGCAATAGGAACAGAGAAGTTTTTGCCTTGTGATGGATTCATAACTCTGTCAGGTCTTACACTCTTCTAGAAGGTAGGACTGTTGGCTAAGGACTAAGCACTCCCAATTTTAAGCAGGCAAGCCTAAAAGAGGATGGCAGAGCAGGGAAAGATACCTTGGAGCAGGGTCGAGTGGTATGGGAAAACACTGGAGTGCTGAAGGAAGACCTGAAGGGGGTCACAGAGGAGTAAGAGGATCAAAGGTGAGACAAGAACGTAAATGTTGTAGAATCAGAGCCTGAGAAGGAAACACCCAATGGTGCTAGTGGTAGTCGTGGGGCCTCTAGGCATGGAAATGGGAAGGTTGATGAGATGGACCATATGTTGGATTTGAGTATTAGAGACAAATGTTTCACTTCGATTTTCCAGAGAGAGTTGGGGCCAGGACTGGGGCAGGGAGGTGACATGTCACTGAGAAGGAGAAGCTGTCACTGCAGATCTGGACATGAGTAACGAGAGTGGAGCCAACAGGTCACCAGAGGGCATGGTGCCCAGGGAGTGGCCCAGGAGAAAGTGCCCATTTCTGTGATCTTTAGTTTGAGGACGAGATTCTCTTTCATTCCTGGAAGGAAATGTTCAAGGTTTCCTCACAAGGAGCCCTGGGGCCATCCACAGCACTGGCATTTTCTGGGCAGCAAGGCTTCCTGGGGTTTACTCCTTGGGCTTTACCATGACGTGATTGCAGACGTCTCATAGCTAGTTCCTCCGAAGAGACAAATGGCTCATGAGCCTGCAGTTCTTCAACAAACCAGGTGTAGACCAACAGTGATGGGAGACGAAGAAGGGTGTTCTTCCTGTCTGTCCCAGTGGGATTCATGTTTCTCAGAGGGTAGAAAGAAAGCAGAACTTGACCTTTACTTTCCTTTTACAGCAAATGGTTGTTCCAGAAAAAATGCAACAACACCTGAACTCTTCTAAAGAAAAAGAAGACAAAACCATCCAGTGCATCTATGCCATCCTGTTGAAGATCCTATTTGAAAAAAAGAGAGACAGAAAGGTTTTGTTTTTAAGTGATAGAATAATCCAAAGTTAAAAATTCAACACAATGGAAAATAGTAATTCAATCCATGCTGCAAACAAGCTTCTTGGGTTGCTTTATGAATTGTATGAGCTGAAGGACAGCACCTTCCATATGGCCATATCCTCACATCGCCTTGGAAGTTTGCCTCTGGACATATTTTCCTATCTGACCATCTTTCCCATCTGGCTTCAAACTTCTGGGCTCAAGAGATTCTCCCACCTCGGCCTCCCCAGTATCTAGGACCACAGATGCATGCCATCACATCTGGCTAATTTTAAAAAATATTTTGTGCAGACAGGGTCTCACTATGTTGCCTAGGCTGGTCTCAACAAATTGGGGCTCATCAGCAAACTGGGACACCCTTTTCAGGGCTGATAACCTATTCCCCTGGCTTCCCGAAACACTTTCTTAGTCCTCTCAAAGGGGTAAGCAAATTTGCCTTGAGGCTAGAAGAATGGAGAGAAGACTGGGCATGCTGGCTCCCGCCTGTAGTCCCAGCACTTTGGGAGGCCAAGGCAGGTGAATGGCTTGAGCTCAGGAGTTTGAGACCAGCCTGGGCAACATGGCGAAACCTCATTTCTAAAAAAAATCAGCCAGGCATAGTGGCACACACCTGTAGTCCCAGCTACTCAGGAGGCTGAGTGGGGAGGATCACCTGTGCCTGGGAGGTCGAGGCTGCCGTGAGCTGTGGTTGTGCCACAGCACTCCAGCCTGGGTAACAGAGGGAGATCATGTCTCAATAATAATAATAATAATAATAATAATAATAATAATAATAACCGTAATTAATGTCTAGGACTTAGATGGGCAAAGAGGTGAGGTGAATATTAAGTACTTTGGAGCAGAAAGTAACAACTGTTTATGTCAGAACATCAGAAAAAGACTGTGGGTCAGACACAAATGCTCCCCCTGCCTGCCCCCTGCAGTCTGTTCTCAGCACAGCTCCCTCTGTGGACTGTTGAAATGTGGTTCCTCGGCTCAGTGCCCTCCAATGGAGCCACCTCACTAGAAAAAAAGCCCTTGTAGTGACCTCAAGGCCCTACCTAATCTGCCCACCACCCACCCCTGACCATACACAGATAGATAGATAGATAGATAGATAGATAGATAGATAGATAGATAGATTTTTTTTTTTCAGATGGATTTTCGCTCTTGCAGCCCAGGCTGGAGTGCAATGGCGCACTCTCACTCACCACAACCTCCACCTCCCAGGTTCAAGCGATTCTCCTGCCTCAGCCTCCTGTGTAGCCAGGATTACAGGCATGAACCACCAAGCCCAGCTAATTTTTTTTGTATTTTTAGTAGAGACAGGGTTTTTCCATGTTGGTCAGGCTAGTCTAGAACTCCCAACCTCAGGTGATCCGCCCTCCTCGGCCTCCCAAAGTGCCAGGATTACAGGCGTGAGCCACCATGCCCGGCCCTGACCATATCTTTTATGACTTTCTCCCTCACTCAGCTTCAGCCACACTGGCCTCCTTGCCATTCTTCAAACACATGAGATGCATTCCTGCCCCAGGGGCTTTGCTGTCCTCCTGCCTCCAATCCTCTGCCTCCTCCCCGATACCCACAGCTCAGTCCCATGCTTCTTTCAAGGTTTTCCTCAGAAGTCACCTTCTTTATGGCTCACGCCTGTGAGCACTTTGGGAGGCCGAGGCTGGTGGATCACTTGAGCCCAGGAGTTTGAGACCAGCCTGGCCAACATGGTGAAACACCCCTGTACTAAAAATACAAAAATAGCCGGTGTGGTGGCATACCTATAATCCCAGCTACTCGGGAGGCTGAGGCATGATAATTGCTTGCACCTGGGAGGCAGAGGTTGCAGTGATGACTTTGTTCCACGGCATTCCAGCCTGGATGACAGAGTGAGACTGTCTCAAAATAAAATAAATAAAATAAAATAAAATAAAATAAAATCACCTTCTCAGTGAGGCCTTCCCTTAACATCTCTACTTAAAATTGCAAACCCCAACACTCCTTATCCCTTTCCTTGCTTTACTTTTCTCCAAAGCATGTATCACTATCTGATAAACTACCTACTTTATTTGTGTAGATACTGTTTGTCTCCCTTACAAACTCTGTGAGATCAGGAATATTGTCTCTTTGATCACTCCCATATCTCCAGTACTTAAACAGAGCCTGACATACAGTAGGTGCTCGATAAAAGTTGAAGAAATGAATGGAGAAAGGAATGGAAAACCATTAGCAGTAGGCTAAGGAACTTAGACTTTGTCCTGCGAGTAATTGAAAATCATTAAAGGTTTTTCTCCCCCTCTTATAGTTGATATCAGCTAGGAAAATGGAATGAGTTTCCTTTCAGCATGGCAGACAAGAAAAAGTATAGAACACTGAGTCAGATGCTCATATATTTAAATTCCAGTCTTGTCACTTAGAAGCTAAGTGCCCTTTGATAAGTTTTGTAATCTCTCTGAAACTCCACTGCTTCTCCTGAAATACCTGTGACAGCAGTTCATAGGGTTACCGGGAGAATGAAATGAAACATGAAAAAGTGTCTCAAATAGTACTTGGAAAAAAATTTAATAAATGTTTGTTTCCCTCCCTTCCTCCTAACAAACTGAGAAATTCCCTATGCATTATGACATCAGTCAGATTCCCAGAGGAAACAGATGGCACACCCAAATTAGGCTAATTCAAGGTGAGTTAAATAGAGAGACTCTACAAAGGTGTGGAGAAACCACAGAGGATGGGGCAGTACCCAGACCCAGTGACAACAGAGTTGTCACCACTCCTAGGGGCGTAAGGACAGGGAGGGAGCAGTTTCCAGAACCCAGAAGGAGAGAAAAATTTCGAAGGCATATTTAAAATTCTAAAAGTGATGAGAAGCCTAACTATTTTAAAACATGCTTTATATCTAGAAAAAGTATATGTCCCGGGCTTAAAAAAAACAAAACAAAACAAAACAAACTGGATTTAAAAAAACATACTTGAACCAAAACCCCACACAACTCAATAGTAAAATAGAGATTTTTTTTTTCTTTTTCAGATTCAGGGTCTCTCTTTGTCACCCATGTTGAAGTGCAGTGACACAATCATAGCTCACTAAAGCCTCGAATTCCTGGGCTCAAGCAATCCTCCCACCTCAGCCTCCCAAGTAGCTGGACTACAGGCACACACCACCACACCTGGCTAATTTTTCAAAAAATTGTTTTGTAGAGACAGGGTCTCACTATGTTGCCCAGGCTGGTCTCAAACTCCTGGCCTCAGCCTCCTAACGTGCTGGGATTACAGGTGTGAGCCACTGTGCCCAGCCTAAAAGATGTTATTTTGAGAAACACAGAACACTTTTGAAAAAGACAGAGCACTTGCTTAAGTAAAAAGAACAAGAGAGGAAAACTTTGGCAGCTCAATAACAATCCATTTAGCATATAAAAATATAACTTGATGAGCTGCTTGATAGGCAGTTCCAAGAGCAAGAATAAAAATTTCTTTAAATACATCAGTGGCAGGAAGACATCTAGAGAATCGATGTGACTGCTTGATTAAACAGAGTACAAAAGGTAAATAAATGATGACTATATATGAAAGAAAGTTACCATGCCAGACTTGAAATTCTGTTAATTTCCTTGATTTGAACTTCGAAGCAGCAAAGCCTTTAGCATTTCACAGCCAAACTTAGAAGGATTTTTTTTTTTTTTTTTTTTTTTTTTTTTTTGAGACAGGGTCTCACTCTGTTACCCAGGCTGGAGTGCAGTGGCACTATCACAGCTTATTGCAGCCTTGACCTCATAGGCTCAAGCGATCCTCCCACCTCAGCCTCCCAAGTAGCTGGGACTGTGGCCACCACACTCGGCTGGAATTTTTCAAACTATTATTTTTTAAATGTGTTGTGGTCTTTTTAAAGGTGTTCTAGGCTGAGCGCAGTGGCTCATGCCTGTAATCCTAGCACTTTGGGAGGCCGACGCAGAGATTGCTTGAGCCCAGGAGTTTGAGACCAGGCTGGGCAACGTGGCAAAATTGTGTCTCTACAAAAAAAATACAAAAAAATTAGCCAGGTGTGGTGGTGGGCAACTTTGGTCCCAGCTACTCTGGAGGCCTAGGTGGGAGGATTCCTTGAACCTGGGAAGTTGAGGCTACAGTGAGATAGTGCCACTGCACTCCAAATTGGGCAACAGAGTGGGACCCTGTCAAAAAAACAACAACAAAAAAGGTATTCTAAAGTGCAAGTTTATAGGTTTATAGTACAGAACAAATGTCTAGGTCAAAACCAGCTTTGTAAAGTTCTGCAAGAAAAGCTGGAGCAGGCATAAGGATAGCTATACAGATCAGTGGAACAGAATTGAGAGTACAGAAAGAAACTCTCATATTTACAGCCCATTGGTTTTCAACAAGGGTGCCAATGATGGCAATGGCTGCTGCCCTCATACTGGCTGCAGCAGGAAGGTGCAGCTTGGGCCGCATGCTCCATGGAGCCAGTGGGAGCTCCACCTCTTCTGAGTTGGGGCAGGAGCTCCCTGGGTGACACTCTGGCCACCCTCCCAGTTGCAGGACCCAGGCATCTCTGCAGTCTGCACCCTTGGGGGCCCCAGGAAGGACATACCCCTACCCCTGAAGGCTCAGGGGTGTCTGTTCCCACTGCCTGGCCTCTCTCTGCTCCCGGAGCCTGCTCCAATCTCTGAGTAGGGGTGGGGGCAAAGTCCCTCATGGTGCCAGAGGCAGATTGATTCCTGGGTGGAAGGGAGTGGGTCCCCAGTGAGACCCCACCTTCAGGTCAGGGAGGGTCTAAAGGCTGGGGGCTAGGCTGCCAGTCCTGTGGACCAGAGTGGGTACTGGTGTTGCCCCTTCCAGACCCACCCATGGCCACCCATGGACCAATCAGCATGCACTGCCTCCCCTCTGAGGTCCATAAAAGCCTTGGGCTCAGCCAGAGCAGGGCAGATGATGTCCTCAGGACAAAGAGGGTAGAGAGACAATGGGATGATCAGCTGCAGAGAGAAGCTACCCTCTCTGCTGATAGCTGGAGATGAGGCAACAACAAGCTGCAGAGAGGAACTGCCCTCTCTGCTAACAGCTGCAGAGATGACCTGCTGGCAGAGAGGAGCCACCCTCTCTAGGGCCGCCTCTCCACTGAGAGCTGCAGACATTGGGAGGACTAGTTGCAAAGAGGAGCTACTCTCTCCAGGGCCTCCTCTCTGCTGAGAACTGAACACTCAATGGATAACCTGCCTACAGAGAGGAGCTACCCACTGCGGATCTCCTCTGAGCTGTTGTAACACTCAATAAAGCTCATCTTTGTCTTGTTTACCCTTCACTTGTCTGCATACCTCATTCTTCCTGGATGCAGGACAAGAACTTGGGGAAAAGATGCCATGGCCACAGAGATTTCCGGCCAGAAAATTGACACCCCAAAGATCCCATAACACCAAAACAATTTATAGGGAAACAATCGTCTTTTCAACAAATGGTACTCCAGATACAGTGAGATGTACCTATAGTCCCAGCTACTCGGGAGGTTGAGGTGGGAGGGTCTCTTGAGCCCAGGAGTTTGAGGCCAGTCTGGGCAGCATAACAAGACCCCGTCTCAAACAAATAAACAAACAACAACAAAATCCAAATGATGTTGGGACAACAGGATATCCATATGCAAAAAAAGGAAGACAGACTCTTAACTAAAATGTATGCAAAAATTAATTTCAAATGGATCAAAGACCTAAATTTAACAACTAAAACTAAAAAGCCTTTAGAAGAAAACATAAATGTGACACCCAAAGCAAAAGCACTAGCAACAAAAAGAAAAGTAGATAAATTGAACTTCATCAAAATTTAAAACTTTTGTACTTCAAAGAACACTATCAATAAAGTAAAAGGACAACCTACGGAATGGGATATAATATTTGCAAATCATATTTCTGATAAGAAACTTACATCCAGAATATACAAATGACTCCTAGGCCAAGGCAGGAAGATCATTTGAGCCCAGGAATCCAGGACCAGCCTGGACAACATAGTGAGGCCCTATCTCTACAAAAAAATAAAATAAAATAAAAATTAAAAAATTAGCCAGGTGTGGTGGCACGTGCCTGTGGTCCCAGCAACTCAGGAGGCTGAGGTGGGAGGATCAATTGAACCCAGGAGTTCAAGGCTGTGTGAGCTATGGTCACAGCACTGCACTCCAGACTAGGCAACAGAGCAAGAACCTGTCTCAAAAAAAAAAAAAAGACTCATATAATGATAAAAAGATAAGTAGTCAATTAAAATGGGCAAGGATATGAATAGACATTTCTTCAAAGAGAAAAATGACCAATAAGCATATGTAAAGATGCATATTATTCATCAGAGAAATGCAAATCAAAAACACAATGAGATACACTTCATACCCACTAGGATGGCGATAATCAAAAAGATAGTTAATAACAAATGTTGGCAAAGATGTGTAGAAACTGGAACCCTCATACTCTGCTGGTGGACCACAGTGTATAATAGTGTAGCCACCTTGGAAAACAGTCTGAAAGTTCCTCAAAAAGTGAAACACAGAGATGTCACATGACCCAGCAATTCCATTCCTAGGTATGTACCCAAAAGAATTAAAAACATTTCTACACAAAAACTTATATACAAATGTTCATAGCATCATTATTCATAACAGCCACAAAGTGGAAACAACCCAAATGTCCAACCACTGGTGAATGGATAAGCAAAATGTGGTATATCTGTAAAATAGAATATTCAGCTGTAAAAAGTAAAATACTGATACATGCTACAACATGGATAAGCCTTGAAAAAAGTATGTTAAGTGAAAGAAGCCATACACAAAGTTCCATATTGTGTTACTCCACTTATATAAAATGTCCAGAATAGACAAATCCACAGAGACACAAAGTAGATTGGTGGGGCCGGGCTTTGCACTGGCTGTTCCCTCTGCCTGGAACACTTTCCCACTCCAGGTGTTCCCATGGCTAGCTCCCTCATTTCCAGTCTCTGCTTAAATATCACCTTCCCAGAGACGCCTTCCCCGACAGCCTATTGGAAGTCACTCTCCATCAATCAGTGTGCCCTGATCCCGCTTGGAGCTCACATCCCTGTCTGACTTGGCTGTTTACTGTTCATCTGCCTTGTTATCTGCTCCCTCCCCACATCATTTCTATGAGACTGCTGCTCACTGCTGTAGCCACCAATGCCTGGAACTGAGTCTGGCATTCAATAAATATTTGTTGGAATGAAACTGGCCTATCAAATAGTTTATTTGATTGCCTATGTTCTCTATGTTTATTTTCTCTTTATTTCTCTCTTGCTTTATTTTATTTTATTTTATTTTATTTTATTTTATTTTTTGGGACAGAGTCTCACTCTGTCACCCAGGCTGGAGTGCAGTGGCACAATCTCGGCTCACTGCAATCTCTGCCTCCCAGGTTTAAGAGCTTCTCCTGCCTCAGCCTCCCGAGTAGCTGGGACTATAGGTGTGTGCCACCATGCCTGACTAATTTTTGTGTTTTTCAGTAGAGATGGGGTTTCACCATGTTGGCCAGGCTGGTCTCGAACTCCTGACCTCAAGTGATCTGCCCACCTTGGCCTCCCAAAGTGCTGGGATTACAGGCATGAGCCCCCTCTTGCTTTTATAGCATTATTGTTGGGATCTCCCATCCATGTTTTGTCTCCAGGATGTTTTATCTGAGGAAAAGGCTGTGTGTTGTCCACATTTGGACCTGAGTATAAAAGAGGACACGGCACTCCCTGTGGCATGCATGGTGGAGGACAGCATGGTGGAAGCTGCACCAAGAAAGCTTCACAGGATAGTTGAATCTAAGAGCAAGAAACTGGGCTCTGAGGGGTCCGCCACCCCGTCTATCACAGAGCGCATGTGATCACACAAATCCCCTGAGGAATGCATAAAAAGGTAGATTCTGATTCTGACTGTGTGGGCTGGAGTCTCAGATCTTACACATCTAACCAAGTGATGCTGATGCTGCCAGTCCACAGACCACAGTCTGAGTAACAAGTATGAGATTAAATGCCAGCTTTGGCTCAGGTTCACAATGTTTAGATCTAATATGTGGTAATCCAGACAGTATTAATCCATTAATTCTGATAATTCCTGGGCATCTCAGACACTTGGCAGCTGTGGTTTTGTTTGCTCTTTCCTCCTACCTGACAGGCTCTGGCTGGGGAAACTGAAGCCTCACCTCTTGAACCATCCTATGATCAATACTGTCCCCAATGTGTCTCAGCTGCATGGCCAACTTGTGAATTATTTCCTCCTGGTGATGCTTCTGACCAATGCTATGCTCCTTGGGCTGAGAAGGTAGATTATGATCTGCATTGAGAAAAAAAAGAGTTCAAAAGAGATAATCCTATTTAATTATCTGTAAAATCACCACTAGTTACTAAAAACTGTCTTAGAAAATGAGAGGGTGGACTGGGTGCAATGGCTCATGCCTGTAATCCCAGCACTTTAGGAGGCCAAGGTGGGTGGATCACTTGAGGTCAAGAGTTCAAGACCAGCCTGGTCAACACAGTGAAACCCAATCTCTACTAAAACTACAAAAAATTAGCTGGACATGGTGGTGGGCACCTGTAATCCCTGCTACTCGGGAGGCTGAGGCAGGAGAATCACTTGAACCCAGGAGGCAGAGGTTGCAGTGAGCCAAGACTGCACCATTGCACTCCAGTCTGGGTGACAAGAGCAAAACTCCATCTCAAAAAAAAAAAAAAAAAAAAAACAGAGAGTTGAAATTCAGTTCTTATAATAATTATCAAAAAGCAAAGCCTATCTATTGGAATAGGTCAGCTGTCTCCAATAGAAATATAATTCAAGCCACACATGTAATTTTAAATTTTCTAGTAGTAAAATCAGGTAAAATTAATTTTAGTAATTTATTTTACCTAAATCAATATATCCAAAATATCATAATTATAACATTAATCAATATAAAATGATTAATGATGTATTTTGCATTTTAAAATTATACCTAAGTCTTTTGAAATTCAGTGTTTATTTTGTACTTACAGGACACCTCAATTTAGATGCTAACTTTTCACCAGAAAATCTTGATCTATACTTAGATTTCATGAAGTTGACAGTTTAAAAAGTAGATTCAGGCCAGACGCCATGGCTCACATCTATAATTCCAAAACTTTGGGAGGCCAAAGTGGGAGGATCACTTGAGCCCAGGAATTTCAGACCAGCCAGGGCAACATAGTGAGACCTTGTCTCTACAAAAAATTTAAAAATTAGCTCTGCGTGGTGACTCACACCTCTAGTTCCACCTACTTGACTGAGGCTGACATGGAAGAATTGCTTGAGCACAGGAGGGGAGGCTGGAGCCAGCTATGGTCACACCACTGCACTCCAGCCTGACCAACAGAGCAAGGCCTGCCTCAAAAAAAAAAAAAAAAAAAAGACAAACGATACAATTATTTATCTATTGATTGGCAATAATTGCTAAAAAAAAAAACAATTATCAGTTTTCAAATTTAAATTAATTAAAA